CTTCCCCCTCCTTTCTGTTTCTCCCATGTTGTTCACTGTGAGGATAGCATGTGTGGATTGCACTGCATGAATAGAGGACTGCAGACGTGAAGGTAGCTTGCCAACTGGATAGAAGATACAGTTGTCGAACAAGTTAAAGCTGGTATTGGCTGGTTGTTCCCATTATTCTTCACAGATTCAGAGAAGTGCAGGTGCCTTTAAGTGTTAGGCACTGCACTACTGCTAGAAAAATATAGTGTGTGTGTGTGTGTGTGTGTGTGTGTGTGTGTCCTGCTGTGAAAGATAGTCAGTCTAGAGGGATAGACAAGAGCTATAAAGTCAATGATATGACTGCATAAAGTGTATACATACAGAAAAGATATCTAGAAGCTTCTGGAACGTTCCAGGAAAGCTTTACAAACTCATCTTCACACTCTCCTCTTGGGAAAGGCAAAAGTGAAGAAAAGCTGTCTATGGAGTATGAAGTCATGTCAAATAGTTTCATGGACTTGTTTGCAATTTGGTGTGGTGGAGAATGAATAGGAATCTGAAGAGACCATGTGGTAAGAAATTGTGGTCAGTCAGGAAGACCTGGGAAATGGCGTCGAGGCATGAACAGAAAGCAGAAGCTTTGCAATACACTGTATATTCCTTTTTATTACTCCTGGATGAAATAGAGAACAAGTTGGACATGGCTCTAGATTTGGGAAGGCTGACCTCCTGCCATATATTAAGCACTATCCATTATGGAATTCAGTGGCTGCTTTTGTGTTTTAATTTCAGTGATACAGTAACATCTATATATGTGTCTGGCAGCTACTGCTACATTTCAGTCATGAATTTTGTTCTAGTAGGGATAGAGCAGGAATCAGTGGCTGCTGGAAGTGTGAGGCTCAGTGGGCCATGTGGGCACCTAGGAGACATGCTCACTCTGTGTCATGAGAAACCAGAGAAGGCTGGAGGGCAGAAAGTCAGAGGGCAAAAGTCAGCAGGAAAGAGCTGCGGGGGAGTTGAGAAGGTGTCCTATGCCTGTGAGAATGCAGCTTGCATGGTGGGGGCTCTGCTATAGCTGAGAGGTGCCTGAGAGCAGGGGGTGGCACAGGTTAGGGCACAATGGGCGAGGACTATAATTCACCCCACAGGCTTCATTTACCTCCTGAATTATTGTGGGACCTTGAACATTGTCTTATGATCAGATTTGTGTTTCTGAAAGAAAATGAAGGGGAGGGGCTAGAGAGTTAGCTCAGTGGCATAAGCGCCTGCCTGGCAAGCACAAGGTCCTGAGTTTGATCTCAAGTACCAAAATAAA